GTAGTAGGGGCATCTAAAGCTGCTACCTGGTTAGGACATGGAGTCAGGGGCACGCTGCAGAAAAACCTAAACCTCCAATTGCCAGGGACTGGATGACGGGATGAATCCGTTGACAACTGCCGTGTATTGCTCATCCCCTCTGAAGCATTTGGCGCTGGTCACGGTCAGAGACAGGGCACTGGGCTGGAGGGACCATTGGTCAGACCCCGTGTGGACGTTCTTCTGTTCGGAGTCGTCTCTTTCCTAAAATGAACAGCCCCAGTCTTTTAAATCTCTCCTCATATGGAAGCTGGGTCATCCCCTAATCGCTTTTATTGCCCTTGGCTTCTTTGCACCTTTCCCACTTCTAATGTATCATTTTGAGATGGGGCAGTATTCAAGGTGTGGCCGTATCATGGATTTCTATAGGGACATGATATATTCTGGTTTCTGCCCATGTTACCCCCCCTGCACCCCCATCAGTCCAGGCGCCCGTATGGCACCAGTCACCGTGGTATCTGAGTGCTCGGAGGAGCACACGGTTCCCACTAACCCGGAGCCTGCAGTTGGCTTGAGGACCCAGCACATCTTTCTGGGACCAGGGCTGGGAGGTCTGTAGCTTTGTTCTCATCCTTCCCATCCTGTCTTCAGTTTCTGCCAGGGCACCAGCAGCTGAGCGAGAGGGTGCGGAAGCGCTTGTATTATGGCTGGGACAAAGACTGTAGCCTGGACAATCTCTCCAGCCCGGTGGCAGGTGAGTGGTGCCTGTCTCTGCGTGGCGAGGACCTGTGCTGAGCCAGGGATTGGAACTAGCCCACGGGCTGAACGAACTCACTCATCTGCTAAGGCCACGTCTACACGTGAACCGCTACAGCTGCTCCAGTGCAGCACTTCAGCGCAGATGGGAGGGGGTCTCCCAGCGCTGTGCTTAGCCCACCTCCCCGCGAGGCGGCGGCCAGGTCGACGGGAGAATTCTTCTGTCGCCCCAGCGCTGGCTGCGCCTGGGATTAGGTCGGCGTAGCAACGTCACCCGGAGGAGTGGATTGTTCACACCCCTGAGGGACGGAGCTGGGTCGACCTCCCTTTTTAGCCTTTTTGCTGCCGGGGAAAGACTCTGGCCCCCTTTCCCTGGTGCCGCCGTGCATTGCCCCCCATGAATGCGTGTACCCCCGGGTGTTTCTGCAGGAGCAGTGCCCAGCAGGTCTCCCTTCTCATTACGATTTATTAGCGGTGTTAGGGTAGAGCCTGGAGGTCAAGGCCCGCTGTGCTGGGTGCTCTACAAACCCAACGAGGAGACCGTCCCTGCCCTATGGCTTACTTCTGTGCTCATGCCCCCTGGAATACCCGTAGCGATCCAGTGGGGGGGGGCGTGGCACAACGCACCCCCCAAACTAAGGCTGGGTTGGGTTTGAGAACCAGGGTGTGAATTTCAGAGCTGTTTGGGCCTTTCCCCACGGGGTTCTAACGACTGGAGAGCCCGTCTCTGTCCGACTTTCTGCCACCATCTCTGTAAACACCTGACTACTGAGCGGGGTAACAGATGCTCAATTTGGGGATTGGAGTACTTGTGGCACCTTAGAGACTAACAAATTTATTAGAGCATAAGCTTTCGTGGGCTACAACCCACTTCTTGCGGATACAGACTAACACGGCTGCTACTCTGAAACTTGGGGATTGATTTCTGGCTGCCTGGCATGAGACGCCCTCCCAGGGGCTGCTTTCCGAGGGCAGGTGTTCAGCCCTACCTGGCAGGTGTCTCGAGCCAGGCACCAAAAATTACTCTTGAAAATCTTGGGCTGAAACTCAAGGAGGGGAGGGCACCATTCCCCGCTGAGCTCCCTGCCTCTGGGTGGAGGGGTGCTGCTCCCGGCTGGGCGCTGGCGTTGGTTGTGCATTGGGAGGGAATCGAGGGCGGTTGGGCGGGGGGAGCGGGGGCATTATTGCTGGTGTTAATCCCTGTGCCGCTCTGCCTCTGACCTAGACATCGCCGTCGAGTTGCTCCAGAAAGCAGCTCCCAGCCCCATCCGCAGGCTGCAGAAGAAATACGTTTGCCACGTGTCTCGGTAAGACGCGACCCCTCCTAGCCCATTGTCTGCAGCAGGCGGAGACCTCTGGTCTGGCTCGACACTTCAGCGTGGCTACCAGCCACCTGGATGGGGAGCCTCTTGCCGGAGAGCATCCTCACCCCAGGCATCGCGCCTGTGCTGTCGTGCTGGATTTCACTGGCCCTGTGCTGAGCTTCCCTGGGCCTTTTCCCTTGTCTGCCCCTCTGATCCCTCCTGGGTCACTGTCTGACTCATGTGCGCAGCCAGTCCCTGAGCCACATGGCAGTGCACGCCGCGCCTGTCTGGTCTGTGTTTCAGCCTGGGTAGTCCCTGGGGCCTGGTGCTCTCAGGTTTCTGTAGTGCCAAAGGCGAGCAATGAGGCTTCTGGGTTTTACACCTTGGCAGGGCAGGGAGCCAGCCAGTGCCACTGTCCGGGCCAGTTCCCGTTTGTGTGAGGGAGTGAAGGGTTTCCTGTCACAGGCAAAGCTCTACGCTGGTGGGCCCAGAGCCCTGCGGCTGGGCCGCTCTCCCCTCTGTCCACTAGAGAAAGCCATGACCCTTGTGAACGCCGAACCGCTCAGGGCAGCTCCGTGGCACAAGCTGGGCCTGTTAGCACCCAGCAAACGCTCTGCCTGAGGAGCCAGACGCAGCTTCGCCAGCAGGAGGATCCGAGCCACGTGGTGTGATCTGTCCATCTGCTGGGGCAGTTACGGGGT